ACAGTTTTATATATATATATATATATATATGACTAAATAAAATATTTAAAACATTTAAATAAAATTATTATAATCTAAATCGAATAAGCATTTAATCAATCAAAAATTATCGATGTCTTATTATATTAACAGGAATTTAGAATGCTGACTCGACATTTCTTCAACTAATTATTTCTCACTGTGCATTGAAATATATAAATATATTTAAGAAAACAAATTTGTCATTGTTACCAATGTTTGGTTTATCCAATAAAAATTCCTGTTTAGTTTTTGCGTCATGTAGGATAAAAATAAAAAGACTTACTTCTAACTTATGCTGAGATTTATGCGGACATTTATTTTATATTCAATAATATGTAATAATTTCATATTCAGTATTATACATTTATATATTGATATTATCATTATCCATCTTGCATTTTTTTTGTAATCCAATCAATGAAATGAGATACTTTAACGAATACGGATGGCATGTTTGGACTACCACAAGGCATCATACCCCAAGATACAACTCCACAAAGCTCCCATTTTTGTTCCTTAAAGGAGGCTAGTGGACCACCGGAATCACCCTAAAAGTATGTTAAAAACGACATAAAATTGCTACTTAACAATGCTGCTATCATTCATTGAATTTGCTGAATATTTTGTACATACGCTGCATGCGGAGTTTGGTTTGCGCGATAATGGCCCAGTGCAGATATTGGTTTCATCAACAGGAGAAGGAGATCCCATCACATCAGTGAACGTTGCGTCGCAAGATTTGCGGTCGATGAGATGCATCATAACATGTTGAAGGTTAGATGGCATTATTGGATAACTAGTAGTCGAGGTAGAGCCCCATCCACAAAGCCATACGTCTCCAGTTGGTTCATTATTTGATTTTGGCAATGCAATAGGTTGTACATACTCATTGAACTTCAATGGAGTAGCCAACTTCATCAGAGCAATGTCATTCCCGCTAACATTACTGAAAGTTAGATAATACATATCGCATGTATATATAAAAATATTCTTATTAATTATATTCTTATTAATTATACAGTTTAAAAAAAATATGCGTTAAAGCTAACGTGTTAATACTAAAATAAATTATAGTACACTAAAAGAAAAGATTGACTGCTGTAACAGATTAGATGATAAAATATGGCATAGCATTTTTAATTAGCCAAATTTTTGCAGCAGTAGCAACAGTTAATTTTTGGTCGCGTTAGTCTGTAATCTGTAATGTCAATATAAGATTTTGACAGACTAACGCAACCAAAAATTGACTGCTGCAATAAATTAAAAATGCTATATCATATTTAGCCAATTTTTTCTTTCAGTATATTACTGAAGGAATAGTAATAACCTATAGAATTAATAGAATATATTATAACAAATCTCAAAATATAATTTGTGCGTCATTTATTTAAGATATAGTTTTCTGATATCATATTTTTAATAATAATCAAATATAATTTTCTAATATCTTATATATCAATGCTAATCACGATATTAATACTAATATATGAGATTACATTAGTAATAGTAGTTTCGATTATTGTACAAATAATTTATTTTACAAATAAAATGTTGATTATTATTGATTATTATTGCAAGAGCTTTTATGTTCTAGATTATTTCTACACTGAAAAAAAATATAGTCAATTTTAATAAATATTTAGTTGAATATTGCCAACTAAATATTTATTAAATATAAAGATATATTTATTTGATACAAGAAATATTAATTTGATTTAACAATCTTTTTTTTTATTGAACAAATACTGCCAACTAAACATTTACTTACAGTAAATGTTTAGTTGGCAATATTGAACTAAATATTTATTAAAATTAACTATATGTTTTTCTCAGTATACAATTATATACAATTATAAATTAATTATAAATACAACATTGATTACATATTAAACAAATATTATTCAAAAACAAATTAATTTAATTGTTTGTATTTACTGCTTTTAACATTTCACTTACCCTTTATATTTTTCATGTATGTACATTTTCGACACTTTTACTACCTGTTCGGTAGGCTCCGTATTTTTAAGATTGTATTTTCCAGCCTTGGCGATAACAGTTTTTCCGGAAGCTGCAGCAGCACAATGTGCTGCTGTTAAAATCCATTCTTTATTCAGGATGGATGCGCCACAGAAATGTTGGGGAGGAAGCAAAAAGAAGCTGCTCATTTGAAGGGAAATAATCCATTTGTACATTCCTTTTGGCGCATCGTCACCTCCAACTACACGAGTCTGAAACGAAGATAAATGCGGCCTGACAGGTGGCATCTGTCTGTCGATTTGGGGCCGCACTGCAATTTAAATTAATAATGTTTAAGAAAACACGTTTACAGAAGAAGTTGATCATAGTATATCAAAACTCTATAGCTCTTTATAAAATAATATTTTATAAGAGAATTTGTAATTAGGAACTAAACTTTACTTTGTAATTCGTACCCAGTTAGAAATAATGACATCGATTCGATGTCGATTCCCTAATTGTCATTGGGTACAACAATACAATAATTTAGTTATTTATTTAAAACTTTTTAATTAAGAAATTTTTTATAATGTATTAGTGACTATTTTTTAAGCAAAATTGAATACAAATTATATCTACCCGGGAATAAATGTTTTATATATAATTATATAAAATTACTCGTATATATAAAATTATATATAAAATTATATATAATTATAGGTATATACAACATTTTTTCCTGTATCTTATATGAATCGAAAAAATTGACTTACCAGCGACCGCCATAGCTAGGAAAGCCAAAAACACGATAGCTTTGGAATACATTTTGCTGTTTAATGACAATCCCATAAACAGACCGCATTTTATACTTTTCTTATCGGATGCATCTGTACGCTGACAAGCCATTATTATCTACGACAATTAATCATGATATTTTACAATACGGAAAATTGTATTCCAGATGATACTTCTTTGTAATTTGAAGTATATTAATTGATATAAATATTGAACTATACGGTATAACTTAGATGATTTATACAAAACAATGTTATGGTCGTATATATTATATACTTCAGTGACAATACTCCGCAGTAGTTGCTTCTATAAAATTAAATACTGTTATAAAACGCAGAAGTGCACAAATTTACTATTTTTATAAAGAAAAATGTATTATTTATCTATATTTAACATTAAAAATTTAATTTATTCAGGCATTTAACTTAATTAATTTTTGTGATAGAAATAATGTCTATTAATAAGAATAAAGATATCCAAATAAAATATATAATGTTATGGAATTTATATAAAGATTAATAAAAAGAGTAATTTAATTATTCTAATATTTAACTTCGAAGTAAAATAAATTTAAAAAAAAAGCCACAAAACTAAACTAAATTACATAGAAGATTAGAATATAACAATAATAAACAACATTATTACAGAAGTCAGTCTTTTTCTTATTTGATATTTGTTTTAATATTGTTTAACCATAATATTCCAAATTAATACTAATTAAATATGAAATTTACTTAAGTTATAAAGTTGAAACATTCTTTAATTAGTCAAGTTGCAAATTCTATTATGCTGATTCGTACAATAGATAAACAATAAATAAACAGAAAAATGTTACTTTTATATTAGACATCAGAATCATCATAAAAATGTATTAAAAACTCGACATATTAAATTGCTATATTGATGACGAAACTACTATCATTTATTGTATATTTGACAATAATTACGCTGCATGCGAAGATTTTATCATCCAACAGCTCAGTACAGATATTGATTTCATGAACTGGAGAAAGAGAAGATTCTGTCAAACTTTGTCGCAAATTGCATGATTGATGTACTATGTTTGAACTAGCTGAATTAGTTTTCTGACAAAAAAGATAAGCATATACAAATATTAAAATGTAAATATATATACATATATATACAT